GATATTTCTTGCAGTTGAATTTAAACATGTCAATTGTAGATTTAGGCACCATATCCACACAACTCCATGAATCAGTCATCAAAATATACTCTTGGCGTTCGGAGAGACAAGGTGTCTGAAATGTATTGTTGCGAAACCATATGTCATCTTGTTGGACCGACATCTCCCCTTGAATAACAAAACTTTTCGTCTCCCAATTTTCATGAGGATTCTCTTCTTCAGTCTCGTGCACAAATTCTTCATCATAACGAGGGGGTTTGTCTTCTTCATCATATTGATCTGCCTCAAGAAGGCTAATTTCATCAAGATTTTTCCACTCAAAGAAAATCTTTGATGAAACTGTCCAATCATAGAATTCATTCGCATTTACTGTTGTATCATTTTGATCGGCGAATGGATTTTCAAAAATAGTGGTTGAACTTGAGGAATTGTCAGGTTCTCCATGGGCTTCGTTTATAGAATTTTGATAAATATTTCCTCTACTTCGAGCAGGAGAATTTTTTCTTGCCAGAAGTTCATCGACCCTTTGTCGAAGTTCAACAAGTTCCGCATAGACATTGACTTCGACTATATTTCTTCGGCGACGGGGCGGCATTTTACTTGATCAGAGTATGAACAACAGCGTGACCTGATGGGTGACCGGGAATCACTCAACCGGCGGCAGCGGACTCACTCGACGCTACTAATCACGGAATCACTCAACGCGACCAAGTCACTCACTTGTTTAAAGAGGAATCACTCACTCTCAATGCAATTAACTTGCAACATATTTTTAAACTTAAACAATCATCTCCCATTTTATTCATTTAAAGGGTGCTTATATAGGAGTTTTGGAACATCCCTCCAAAATATAGGAAATTACAACTTTGAATGACTTATCATCTTCTAATTCTAGAAAATAAATAAACTTGACCTTAACTCATGAAATACATAGAATATGACCTGATTATATGATAACAAGATGAATAATTCGAAATTAGACTAATAAAATAAATAAAACACTTAGAAATACAAAAAGACACAAAGCTGTCAATTTTCCCGAGTGCAGCTGGCAAGCTCTAGAAAACTGAGCATAACTTATTCTTCCGAACTTCGTTTTGTAAACCGATTTTTGTGTTGGAAAGTAGACTTCCAGAGCTTTGTAACCATATATAGCAATAAATCTAACTCTTTAGGAATCAAAACAGGTGATTTTTCAAAGTTGACTGATCAGCAAACACCAATTCTGCATCATTCTCTCCTTCTTGAAAAGAACTCGTCCTCGAGTTCGAACCAAAACATAGATTGTCCGTTTTTTTTTTCGTTTGAAATGTTTGTAGGACAGTAAGTTAACTAGAAGTTTGAGACAGTTGCGACTTGGTGTACCTTTTAAAGGAAGCAAAACATACCGAGTCGCCTTCTTGAACCACGAAAAAATGTACGACTTCGGATATTTCTTGCAGTTGAATTTAAACATGTCAATTGTAGATTTAGGCACCATATCCACACAACTCCATGAATCAGTCATCAAAATATACTCTTGGCGTTCGGAGAGACAAGGTGTCTGAAATGTATTGTTGCGAAACCATATGTCATCTTGTTGGACCGACATCTCCCCTTGAATAACAAAACTTTTCGTCTCCCAATTTTCATGAGGATTCTCTTCTTCAGTCTCGTGCACAAATTCTTCATCATAACGAGGGGGTTTGTCTTCTTCATCATATTGATCTGCCTCAAGAAGGCTAATTTCATCAAGATTTTTCCACTCAAAGAAAATCTTTGATGAAACTGTCCAATCATAGAATTCATTCGCATTTACTGTTGTATCATTTTGATCGGCGAATGGATTTTCAAAAATAGTGGTTGAACTTGAGGAATTGTCAGGTTCTCCATGGGCTTCGTTTATAGAATTTTGATAAATATTTCCTCTACTTCGAGCAGGAGAATTTTTTCTTGCCAGAAGTTCATCGACCCTTTGTCGAAGTTCAACAAGTTCCGCATAGACATTGACTTCGACTATATTTCTTCGGCGACGGGGCGGCATTTTACTTGATCAGAGTATGAACAACAGCGTGACCTGATGGGTGACCGGGAATCACTCAACCGGCGGCAGCGGACTCACTCGACGCTACTAATCACGGAATCACTCAACGCGACCAAGTCACTCACTTGTTTAAAGAGGAATCACTCACTCTCAATGCAATTAACTTGCAACATATTTTTAAACTTAAACAATCATCTCCCATTTTATTCATTTAAAGGGTGCTTATATAGGAGTTTTGGAACATCCCTCCAAAATATAGGAAATTACAACTTTGAATGACTTATCATCTTCTAATTCTAGAAAATAAATAAACTTCACCTTAACTCATAAAATACATAGAATATGACCTGATTATATGATAACAAGATGAATAATTCGAAATTAGACTAATAAAATAAATAAAACACTTAGAAATACAAAAAGACACAAAGCTGTCAATTTTCCCGAGTGCAGCTGGCAAGCTCTAGAAAACTGAGCATAACTTATTCTTCCGAACTTCGTTTTGTAAACCGATTTTTGTGTTGGAAAGTAGACTTCCAGAGCTTTGTAACCATATATAGCAATAAATCTAACTCTTTAGGAATCAAAACAGGTGATTTTTCAAAGTTGACTGATCAGCAAACACCAATTCTGCATCACATCATCTGGAGGTGGAGGATCGGGGAGAATAATACTACTTCCCTCAACATGTCGAAGTTGGGGCATCTGCCATATCTCACTTGGTAGGCTCAACTCTTGATAAACAACTAATGTATGTAGACTCCAAAGACGTGATATAGAAGACGGCATCAACATCAATGGACCCATGCAAGCAACATATCTTGAGTTAATTAGTTGTAGAATCTCATCTTTGGGATATTCATCTACCACATCCAATACCCGTAGTAATGGAAACCGACGAGCAGTGTAATCGGTTGAATCCCCTTTAGAGAATCTTAAGAAAGACCGTGTAGGTACATGTGGTCTATAGGGAGTACTCTTCATCCCTTTTCATTTTCCACCATTAATGCTTAAGCGTCCAGGGCTGATCTTCGTGTCTGATAAAATATCGAGGTGGTTATACAAATTTTCGGTGAGAATAAAATTGTCTTTATGAGCTTCTCTCCTACATAGCTCACTTAAAACATCATGAATGTGGCAGTCTGTCACTTGTCCAGTAATTGATCGCCAACTGACCAAAATGAGATTTCTATCAATAAGATCCTCCAAGTACTCTTCTCCAATTTTTTCTAAGCTTTTATGCCCACGTTTTCTAATAAATCCTTCAGCAATCCACAACCTGACCAGCCTAGACAATTTGATATCAAAATCTTCTGGAAACACGGCAAAGTAAAGGAAACAAGGCTTGAGATATATAGGCAAGTGATTATAACTCAACAACAATATTTTCATGCAAAAGTCGTCATGTTCATTGTTTACTGCCGAAGTCACATCTTCTTCGACGTACTTCCAATTTTCTGTTTTTGACTTTGCAAGAACCCCAGCAATCACAACAAGGGCTAATGGAAGTCCTCTGCATTTTGTAGCAATACTTTTTCCAGTTCCCTCCAATTCAACGGGGGAACGCCCGTCTGCAAATATCTTTCGACGGAGCAGATCCCAACTTTGTTTTTCATCTAACAAATTTAGTTGATAAGGGATACAAGACCCAATATCCACAGCCAATCTCAATAGCCTAGTAGTTACCAAGATTCGACTTCCATTATTGTTATCTGGAAGGAATCTTTTAAACATATCCCAAGCCTTGATATCCCACACATCATCCATTACTATTAAATACTTCCTCCCAAGTAGAGTTTTGTACAGTTTATCTCCTAGTTTACCATCGCTAATCTCATGGGCATCATCTTGATTAGTATTATCAATCTGATGCAAAAGGCCTAGAAGAATCTCCTTTTCGGTATATTCTTGGGAGACCGTAAACCAAGCACGAACATGAAAGTGTTGCACGATAAAAGGTTTGTTATAAACATGAGTGGTAAGAGTAGTCTTACCTATGCCTCCCATTCCAACAATAGAGATGATTTGAAGATTAGATTCATTTGAAAAGAGAGCACCCATAATTTCGTTCACGTGGCCGTCGAATCCCACCATGATAGTTTCGCTAACGGGAAGAGGCCTTGATGACGAAGTAGCTTCCGTTGTTATGGAGATTTTAGCATGCACATATTTCTTCATTTTCACGAGCTCTTCCTCGATAGAATGGAACTCTTGTATTGCTGTTAGTACACATTCAGACAAGATATTATTGGACGTTGAGGTTTCTACTCTTTCGACTGCACATCGACCAAGAATGTGGTTCATCACACTGTCTTCAATGATATATTCTGCTCCTTCAGCTGCAACCCTCATTCTCGTCTCCAAATCTTCAATCTCTTTGTGATCTCCTGCAATACTCGAACGATTTTCGAGAAAATTATCAATCAAGAAATCGGCCTTTTGTCGCAAACAATTAATCTGATCTCGGTCGCAATTGAACTGATGATGAGGGGATGGATTGAGGATATGGTCAATAGTATGAGTGAGAGAAACTAAAGCCGCATAAGCTGTAGCCATCTTTTTTCGATAAAAAATCAGTTTTCAGAGAATCGAGTAGCAGATTATGGAAAGTAGATTATGCTAAAAAATGAATTGGTGATTTCTTAGACACTAACAAGAAATCAATGCAAAGTCAAAAATGATAATAAAATTGGAAACATTGTGAATTAAGTTGTCAAATTAGCGACTCGGTCAGCATATAATTGGCATTTGATAACAATAAGGTCTTCATCATACCTACCAATTTGCATCAGCCAAAAGAAAGTCAAAAATTAATAATTTATAGTTTGTTGTACCTCAACTTTGACAAAAATGTCATAAAAGTTATACTTAATTGATTTTTAATAAAACAAATTTCTAATAAAATATTTCTTAATTTCTTCTTCCACGTCATTAGTTACTATTTAAAACTTAGTTTATAAACTTCCACCGATTCTTCCTCCTATTTAGATCAAGGTTTAGGAGTGTTTATTCTGTAAAATCGTACAAAATA